GGAAGGAAGGAAGGAAGGAAGGAAGGAAGGAAGGAAGGAAGGAAGGAAGGAAGGAAGGAAGGAAGGAAGGAAGGAAGGAAGGTCTAACCAAGTTAAGCCAGTGTTGCTGTCTCTTCTTCTATTTACATGATAAAAAATATTTAAGAAAAACGTTACTTAAGTCTCAATTTAAACAAAAAAGAAACATTTACTGACAGATAAAACATTAACAATGGATAGTAAATGGAGGGGGCAATGAACGACCATCAGCAGGTCAACGCTTTGGCCTAAGTCTAGTTTATAATGCAGCTATAGGTAGAATCACAGTATAATTAGAGTCAAATCATATTTGATTAGTTCTAAATAAATGCAATGTAAGTACGTTTACAGAGAGAGAAACTTATTTTAAAAAGTCCAGTTTCTTTATATCTTTTGTGTTTAATACTTTTATATATTTATATATATATATATATATATAATAGAACTAACTGGGTTTTTGTGGGTTAATGTTGTTTATGCTGAGTGTTGCCCTACTGACCCATTGCACCACATAGATAAGGTTGAAGCTTTGAGGGAATCCATGTCCTGGATCAGTAACCTCCAGGCTGCTGAACTAGTTCTTCCTCTGTTACCACATCTGGGATTTTACTGAAATCAACAACCAGTGGCTAACAGAACATCTAACTGCATTTAAAAGTCTTTTAAATTATAAAACCTTTTTGTTTTAGACAGTTTAAGATAGCAAAATTCAGATTCTGCTCCTCTTCTCGAGGATTTTTTCTTGTAAACTGGCTCCTCTTGATAGCATTGAAGATCAAGAGCACATGAGGAGGACATCATTACTCAGCTTCTTTTAGTGCATTTGCACCGTTTAACCCTCAAACATTTACCTCAGTCTACCATGGACACTAGGACAGGTATTAACCAAATACAGAACACAGCAGTATATCCACCAAGGTTTGGCTCATAGTGAAGAAATTAACATTTCTGGGTCAAGATAAAGCTCAGAATTTCCTCCTTATTCAGACAACATGGAGATGAAACAAGCTGTAAAAGCAGGGAACCCCTCAAACATCTCCTCTGGAGTGAATTTGTTCCCTTATTGTTGCAAAAAAAAAACAAAACAAAAAAAAAACATTTTAATAAACTCTGCTGTTTTCTTTGATTTGATTTTTTCAAAATACATATTTTTTAATCAAGATTCATTTTTACTTTTTTTTTGCCCCATTTCAAATTTCTTTTTTTCATATATTTTTTTTTCATAAGACCACACTCTCTTCCTCCAGGCCAAGGACCTCCAAACTGATGGCGAGATGGAGCGGGGACCCCCTAATTATAAATATATTGTATGAACTTGTTTTATATCAAACTAGTCCTATAGTCTCTCTATTACAGATGGGGTCATGTAACGAAAGTAATTTCGCCTTTCACCCTGGGATTATTAAAGTATTTCTGATTCTGATTCCTGGTTGATGGGACAGGTGTTGTGAATGAAACGGTGCCCAGCTTAAAAGAGCTCCTGTGTGTCGCTGAATGTGTGCATTGATGACTGAAAGACATCTTCTTCCTCCATTTATCTGTTTACTTCAGTGTGTTGAATTCGTGTTAATCTGGATTTTAAGACATTTCAATTAGTGGATTAAATTGTAGGGGGGAATACAAAAAATAAAAAAGTCTAATCAACCAAAACTTTCGCAACCCCGATGCAGTACCTCTGTGGACCCTCTAGGGGTTGCAGATCGTCTGTTGAAGACCTCTGCTCTAGGTTGATTACCAAAGACATATTTTATTGTCCATCCATCCATCCATCCATTTTCTTTACAAGCTTAATCCCAAATTGGGTCACGAGGGCTGCGAGGGTTGCCTTTCTCCAGCTGTCTATGGGCGAGACACACTCACACCTAAGGAGAATCTAGAGAAGCCTAACAGTCGTGTTTTTGGACTGTGGGAGGAAGCCGGAGTACCCGGAGAGAACCCACGCATGCTCAGGGAGAACATACAAACTCCATGCTGAAAGACCAGGAATCGAACCCAGAACCTTCTTACTGCAAGGCAGAAGTGCTACCCACTGCGCAGCCTAATTTATTGTTTAATAAATAAATAAATAAATAAATAAATATATATGTATATATGAAAAATAAAATATGAATAAAAATATGAAAAATAAAATATGAATAAATACAAATGTATATATATATATAAAAAAATTATTATTAATTTATTTTTTTTATTTAATAATGGTTTAATTTCTGGAAAGGATTTTTTTCTAACTTCCTTTCACAAAGCGTGTTCTTTGATTGGAACAATAAAAGAACGAAATTCGCTTTAATCTTTCAACTGAAATGAAAATATTGAGAAAAAAAAAGAAACTAAGTTGGGGGTGTCCCAACTTTTCCCTGTCATTGTAAAAATGTCATGCTTAAAGTAGAAATCCTGGAAATGAATGATTATTTATTAAATGAATCCCTCTTCAGGGATCAGAACCACACTAATGTGATTAAATCCACATTATTTTTCAGTCCAGTAGAACTTCTTCTGTTCTAATTGTCTCTCCTGGTCCGATCCAACAGCTCAGGTTGGTTTGGCGCAAATGTTCTGCGGGCCTACCTTTAGTTCTGCCGCACACCGGGTCGGGTCGCAGGTGGAGCCGCAGGTGCACACCGGCTTACAGCCGCATTCAACCATACAGATCTGCTCTCCGGGGCCGCTGGGGGCCCCGGGCTGCTTTCTGGAGCCATTGGGTAAAAACATAGTGGGATCGGAGCAGAGCTGGGCTGCGGTGGAGCTCGGCTTCTGTTTTCCTGTCAGATCACAGGGCAAAAGTCCAGGAGATATGGAGCACGCGCCTCTGGTACGTCATCTTCAAGCAATAATCCGCGCGGTTACTTTTCACGGTGAAACCAGCTACAGATACAGATTTCTGCTTCTCACAAGAACAAAAACCCGCTATAACTATGTTGTAACTCTCCTTGAGAGATTAGTTTTTATTTTTAACAATTAATGTGAAAAGTGTGTCCCATTAAATAATATTTAAATGCAAGCCGGCTCAAAGTATGGAAGGTTAAAAGGGACAAAATCAAACAATTAAATGTACAATTAAATTATGAAATGTAGAAGTAAATGAATAAATGCACCATTAAAGACTAAATATACATTTCAAATTAAATAATCAGTCATTCTTTAAATAAAGTCATTTTTTAAATTTAACCCTTTATAGGGCAAGTTACTGTATTTGATCACTTGCATACCCCTTCCAAATGGAGTCCCCCCCCCCCATCCGTCAGTGAGGTCTGAAAGCAAAAGATCTATATCTAGCCATTCAGCAAAGATACTGGTGTAAATTAAGTTTGAAAAAAAAAAGTTAACAAGTCAAGTAAAAAGGTAAAAAGCTAAATGAAATCCTAAAAAGTAAAGTTAAAAGTTAATAAGCCTAGTTACCTCTTGTATTTAGGTTTACAAACTAAAAAATTTTAAGTGCCAGTTTCAGCATTGATGCCTCTAAGGTTATGTTGGACCAAAAATAATTATCTTTCAAGAATTTCCTATAAGAAGCGCTTTGTTATTTTTCTTAATATATTTGGGCAAGTTGGTCTTTCTTGTTATTAGATCATTTTTGCCATCAAAATATCCATACTTTTTGAATGTTACAAAGGTAATAAGGTCTTGTCCTGTATTCCAATAACTCTATTGGCTTGAAATTTTGATTTTCAAAGTATTTCTCTAAGAAGCCCTATAAAGGGTTCATTTTAACCCCTTTAACACTCCATAGAGGCATCCATGGGCCCTTAAGAGATATTGTTTAATTGTGACTTCTTTGCTCTGTTAATCAATAAATCCTTGGAGGTGATATAGCAACAGAATCTTTTATTATTTCATCTTAACAAATGATCAGTCGGTTCAGAATCAAACCGCTTGCTAAAATGCCCTCTCAAGAAACAAAGTGTGTACTAAGGTGATCTCTTGCAAGCCAAACCTCATGTTAATGTGCCGTCTGTGGAGCCAAAACACATAAAGTGCCCCTCTCAGAGCCAAACCGTATGCAACAGTTCCCTCTGGGGAGCCAAAACGCATGCTAATGGGGGCCCTTTGGGAGTCAAAATTGTTTTTAAGGTTCCCTCTCAAGAATCAGAACGCATACTTAATGCCCTCTCGGGAATACATGCTAAACCACCCTCTTGGAGCTATAAGGCACACTTACCTGTCATCTTGGAAACTAAAAGCATGCTAATGGCCCCTCTCAGGAGCCAAAAGGTGTGCTAAACCACCCTCTCGGAGCTATAAGGTGCACTAACCTGTCATATCAGAAAATAAAAGCATGCTAAAATATCCTCTCAGGAGACAAAACCCAGGCTAAAGTGTACTTTACAGTGGTGGGAACACGATTATGCCATTTTTTTCCTGCCTGTCCTTCAGTGTACCGTACATTTGTTACGCCACGGCCGCCAAGTCCTTTCATTTTAGATAATGGATGCCTTGAAGGGAATATATAAAATTATGCGAAATAAACATTCAATCAATTATGAATTATGTTTGTTTCTTTTCCAGAAGCACCTGACTGGACTGTTTATTATATTTTTTAATATCGCTTTGAAATGCTGCCAAGGCAACTGGCTCATTACAGGAGCTGTAGGTCATTTCAGAGGCATCAGATTAATTAATTTAGAACAGATAAGCTATTTGACAAGGACTTTTTTTTTTTTTTTTTTTATACAGATGTTCAACAACATTTTATGAAGGACCATCCAATCAGAATCTTGTATTCATCCAGACCAGTGATGTCAAAGTGAAATACACAGAGGGACAAAAAAAACTAAATTTGCTACAAGCAGAGGGCCGGACTGGTTAAATGTTTACTAAAAAATATTGAAATTAACATGGCCTATTGAACCAAGACCTAACTTTTTTTTTTTTTACGCAGCAGCTCAGTTAGTGCACTCCGCCTCTTTAGACAACCGACTTCAGCCCAGCTTGGATTGTTAAAGAGGGAAAAGCGAACACCAAAACAATCCAAACATGCAAAGCACAACAGAAAAATTAAGAGAAAAACACAATCATGCTTTTTACCTTGGGAATATAGTGTTGGTGCGTACAACACTACATTCCCCACAATGCAACAGTAACACACAAAGTCACAGCAGCTAATATAAGCAGCCGTGGCCTGAGGGCCGGTTCTAATGCCTGGACTTTAACATGTGATCTAGAACATGGGATAGTTTAAAAAAACACACACACAAAAAAAAACTTTTTAAAGCATTAAGAGGTTCCTTAATGGTTTTGTGTTTTTAAGTTAAAATAAATCCAAACTTCAGAGTAAATTCCGTAATGGAATTTAGCAGTGGTCCTGTTTAAACTATAAAACCTGCTCTTTTGATGAAGGAGAATAGTGTTGGTTTTCCTCTCATCCTATATGAGCCAGAACAGTATGGAGTGAAATTTGTTCCATTATTGTTGCAAAAAACAACATATGCAAATGGAAGCTGGAAAAAATGATCAATAAAGCTTTTAGAGCAACCTTTTTCTGAGATCTTTACAGCTTTAATATTTTCAATTTTTTAGTTTGAGTTTTAAAAATTGTATTTATTTGTGTTTTATACATCTTATCTTCCTTCTGATTTAGTGATTAATAACTTGAATGAAATGAGATACAATATTTTAAGATTTTATTTTAACCAACTTGAATTGTAAAAATAAAAAAAAAATTTTTTGTAGGAATACTGACAAAACCACCATCACTAATCTACTTGATAAAAATGGTTTTAGTCCCAGATTTTTTTGTGGAGAACAATTAGCAGCACATCACCCTCAAACACCTGTTAACAATAAAACAAAATCTTCTGAAGGGTTCTCAAATGAGCACGCAGAAATATTTTCTAAATGATTACAATATCTCAATTTGAAGCCCGTCACCATGACGATTTAAATAGCATATGCAGGACGTATGAAAAATCTGGCAAAAACGCTGGTACCGGTATATGTTGGATGAATTATGCATGGCTACGTTTTCTATAAGTTATGAGCACGCTGGGACACGTTGACATCAACAAAGTACCACTTGGCGTCAGAAATCTGATCGTTGAAAAACGTTAAGTCTAAGTTATCCTTGGCGTCCAGCTTACCCAAAGCCTATGAGTAACTTATCAAGAACTTTTCTCCAACGCATATCAACGTATGTGACGTGTTCAAGACGACGGCTGAACATGTTTCTAACTTACAGCTACGTTTTAATTGCATATTGGCAGCATTTTGGTATGAAGGGTTCACAGAAGGAAATGGTCAGTACTTCTCCTGTCTTCATCCCCACGACCAACAAACTTCTTGGCAGACATGATGCTGATTCTGCAGCGACTGTAAACCCTCTTTTGATTTTTTGACAGGCGATAATCAGCTAGGTTAATACCACAAATCAAAGAAATCTTTTTATGCAGGGAAGACGCATCGCTGCGCCTCTGGACACTGGCTTGTGCATCATTTCATGGGCATTAGGCTGCAGTGCGTTATGCATAAGTTAGGCTGTTGTTGAACATGATGGGACTCGTTATGAATTCGCCATGTACACACCTGGAATTGAAAAAAATACCTAGAAAGTTTAATGTATGCAGCATTTTTAAAGATCCTGGGACGTCCGGCATAAACTGGCTAAATCGGCAAGGTGAGAAAGGGGCTTGAGTGTAATAGTTCCCCCGGGAACTTTCCCAGAAAACTGATAAAACCTCTAAAGGCATTAAGGTTTTCTATTAAAGACCAGGGGAACATCAGCTTATGGTTTTTCCAAAATGACTAACGCATTTACAAAAAAGACAAAAACATTTAATTGATTGAAATCAAGTCAGATTCCAATGACATAACATTTAAAAACAAAGTAAAAAAAAAACACAAAACTGTTTTTGCATTAAGGACATTAAAACAGACATTTGGGGACACAGAGACAAAGCTGAAATGTTTTTGAGAATAGTCGCCATCTCTCCGTGCAGATCCTCCTGAAACGCTGGTGTGTTGGTGTCAGCGAGGCTGCGGCGGAAACATAAAGGCACGCTAAAGAACTGTAATGGACTTTATTGAATTGAACTGAGGGAGGAAATAATATTTTTTAGTAGCGTCTGTCTTTTAGCTGTTTCTCTGACAGAGGAGATGGATTTTTCGGCGTTGCCATGACGGCTCAGCGTTGGCGGTCCCAGCGCCAGATGGAGGCGTCATCGCACACGGCGATCAGGATGCTGCTGTCACGGCTGAAGCTGGTTTGCCGGATGGCCGAGGTGCATTTAGGGAGCGTTAGCGTGGTGCACCTGAGGTGGAAAGGAGTCAGATGATAGATGAAGGATTTGGTGGTTTAAGGACCTTTATGGAGTCAGATAACTGTCTGGTTTGTAAATTAAAAACATTCAAGATTTATTCCGTAAAAATAAAAAATAAAAAAACAATCCACCGGACTTGGTTTCCAAGTTTTGAAAGGTTTTCAAACCTAAGAAACCAAGTCCGGTGGATTGTTTTTTTTAATTTTTACGGAATGACTATGACCTGGATAATTGAGAATTTTCATCAGCATTCACGATTTATGTTTGATCCTTGCCGTCAAACTATAGATACACCACACATCAGATCATCTGTGAGAATCCCAGCTTAGAACTTATGAATCAGTTCCAAACATGCATCCACACAGGTACAAATCACACACTAATTCACTAATTAGTGGGAATCACAGATTAACCAGTATGAATTCATACTGGTTAATCTGTGAAACGCACTCATAAATT